GAAATGCAGGAGGCTGAGATGGGGATGGTGTCTCAGAGAGGAAGTGTGGAGGCAGAGCTGGTGGTTTGTGTGGAGGAGCGGTGCAGTGGCTGCACGTACAGTGATCAGCTCATGTGCTTGACTGCATCTATGGCTCGTGCTCTGTTTGAGGGATGCAAGGGCTGTCCAAGGCTCACTGCCTGTTAGTGCAGCATGTGCTCTGCAACACAGCTTTACACAGAATCACAGAATCCCAGCGTGGTTTGGGTTGGCAGGGCCCTCAGGAGATCACCCAAGTCCAACCTCCCAGAGCAGGATCACCAGAGCAGTCGCACAGGAACACGGCCAGGGCTTTGGGTGTCTGCAGAGAAGGAGACTCCACAACCTCTCTGGGCAGCCTGGGCCATGCTCTCGTGTCCTCACAGTAAAGAAGTTTTTCCTTCTGTTGAGGTTGAACCTCCCGTGTTCCAGTTTGTGACCATTGCCCCTTGTCCTATTGCTGGGCACAAGCAAGAGTCTGGTCTCATCCTCCTGCCCCCCACCCTTGAGATACTGATTGGAATTAATGAGATCCCACCTCAGTCTCCTCCAGGCTGAACAGCCCCAGCTCTCTCAGCCTTTCCTCCTGTGGGAGATGCTCCACTCCCCATCATCCCAGTGGCTCTGCGCTGGGCTCTCTCCAGTTGTTCCTTGTTCTTGAACTGGGGAGCCCAGAACTGGACGCAGTATTGCAGATGTGGCCTCCCCAGGGCAGAGCGGAGGCAGAGGAGAACCTCTCGTGGCTATCTCAGTTCAGACATGTGCAGTTTAGGGAGGTGCAGTGCTCTCCTGGAGCTGAGCTCCTTCCCTTGGGGGAGCCCCAGGGCTGTGCTTGGGCATCGCCCTGGCTGCTGCTCCAGGCTTCTGGGAGGAGACTCCTGAGGAGGCCTTCCCTGGGAATCAGTGACTCTGGATGCTAGCGATCAGCTCAGTCACACTTTGAGAAAGGAAGCTGCAGTGATTGAAGATCCTTTCCTCTCCTAGTCTGAGAAAAACACTGGATCAAACTGTTCAGTTAATACTTCGTTGTAAGTATAAACTCTTTGGTCCAATTCTTTCGTATGCTGATGTGAGGAGTAGCTGCTCTGATGTGCAGAGTCTATCCATTACCTCCCTCTGCTGAAAACAAGAGGTCCTGCAGGAGGAGATGAACTGTACCCTAAAAGCATGCTTTTGCTCCACAGGAATAATTCAGATTCAGATCTAGGTGCACACTGCAGATGCCTGATTTTAGGCGAGGTTCATCTTATTCCAGCGTGCTGGACTATAACTCTTTGGGATAGGTCTGTGACTGCCTCAGTGTCTGTGTGCCATGACGGATCCCCATCCAAGGAGCCTTCTGACAGCACTGCAGTGTAAATGTGGTGGTTTGGAGCAGTCTGAACAGCAGGGCTGGACAAAAGTCCTGCAGCACTCAAAGAAACAGAGGAGCAGCTGCTGTGTAAGCCTGTGCGCTGAGGACAAGGGAAATTACTGGCCTGGTTTCAGCAGGGTGATGCCGTTTGCTTCAGCAGTGCGACTCCTTGCAGGCTCCCAGCAGTGGATTTCCAGCAGAGGTTTAGACTTAGTGCATTTCCTCTCCTGGGGACTTTTTATTTGGGGCCTGTGGCTTTACCATGAGTGGTCCCCAGGAGCAGATTTTTCCAGCTGGAGCTGGGGGCCTGATATTGAGGAGCTCTGAAAATGAAGTTCTTCATCAAAACAACTCGAGCCTTGAACTGCTCTTTCAGTTGAAATTTCTCCCAGAGCTGAGTTGCCACCTCCTGTGTTTGGGCTGGGCATGCTTTGATCTCTTCCACTGTTTCTTTCCGTTGCAGGATGCTCGCTCCTTGGCCGCAGCCCCCACCCCGTCCGGCGCTCGAGCCAACACGGTGCTGGAGAGGGTGGAGGGGGCCCAGCAGCGCTGGAAGCGCCAGGTGCAGGAGCAGAGGAAGACGGTTTTTGACCGCCACAAGATGCTGAGCTAGATCTTCACTGAGCCGTGCGGCACCACTTCCCAGGAGACAGCGTAGCTCCGCTGGTCCAGACGAGCAGATCATCCCTCAGGACGTGCGTGGTATTTGACTGAAAGCTCTAACCCTCTCTGATTTACTGTCGTCACAGAGAGAAGCAAACCAAAATGCTTGCCTCTGGTTTTGTCCCCTTGCCTTTCACCTCGGCCCAGAGGCTCCTTCCCCTTTCCCTGGCTGAGATCTGCGCTGCTCGTTTGCCCCGTGGCTGCATGTAAACGCTCGGGGCCTGCAGCTCCGGTTTGACCGGACCCTGTGGGCACCACTTGCTGGGACTGAAGTCTCCACCAGCCCCACCCCACATCAGACAGGGGTCTCAGTGCTGGAAGCTGGCTGAGTCTTCCTGGGGTAAAAACAGTGGGATAATTTGTATGTGGGGTAAATTATGTGGCTCTCCAAGATGAAGAAGCCTCCTCTTCCTCCAGTTTGTACCAGTGTCACTTGGGCATCGTGGTGCTGAGAGGACGCATTGCACACACAGGAGGAGCAGGGGGTTCCCTGCCAGGGATCAGCTGCTGCTTGCACCTACCCTGGTGTAAACTGAGCGGGTTTCCACCCTCGTCAGTGGAGTCTGTCCAGATTTACACCAATAACTGAGATTGCACCTTGTTTCTGCATAGATGAGTATCACAGAACTGATCAGTATGAGACCAACAGGTGAAAGGTTCATCTACATTTATACCTGTTCCTGCTTTAACAGTGGATAAAAACACACTAGGGAGAAAGCTTTCCGTTTGTACCCCCGTTGGTAACCCCTGACACTCACGGTGCGGTCAGAGGCATTTGTGTCCCAGAGAACGGGGGCAGAGGCTTTCCTGGAGCACTTCAAACACTTGTCTGGGTCTTAGGGCCCTGAAAGAGGGACACTCATGCTCCTCAGAACACTCCGAGAGCTCTGACTGTACTTGGGCTGTGTGAAAAGGAATGCAGCGATGCTGCAGCACATCTATTGATCCCATGAGAAGACTGATAATGTCAGGAAGGTGCTGGAGTTTATTGTGTAGCATCTCAGTATTAAATGCAGACAAAGATCTATTACGTGGCTGGCTTTTTTTCAGGGAAAGGTCCCATCATGCCAGGTCTGAGGCTCCGAGCACCAAGTGGCTGCTCTCCAGGCTCTTGATGCAGGACCTCAAGACCGAGCTGTGGTGACAGCGCTCGGGTGTTTCGGCACTGCAGGTGGGTCCCCTGGCACTGGTCTGTGCCTGTCCCTGCTTGCAGGGTGACCTGTCCTGTTCACCCCAAACCAGAGCAGTCCTGCTTGGCACAAGCAAGCCACAAACTGCTCCGGGCTGTCTTGCAGGAAGGCCAAGCAGATCAGAATTCCTCCTCCTTTGCTGAACAATTGTTGCTGAAAGCTGAACTGGGAGAGGCGCCCGTCACCACATTGCGTGCCCGTGCCAGCAGCTTTGCTGGAGCTCTGCAGCAGGACCCAGCCCTCCCAGCTGATCCAGCCACACGAGTCTGAACAGGAGCTTTTTGGGGAGTTTGAGCCTGCACCCTGCATCACCCCAGTCACCCTCAGCACCTCACTGGGCTAAAGAGTACCCAGAGCTTTACATGACACCAAGGTCACATTTTCCTTTACCCATCCTTGTTCCATGGTGCTCCATTGTTGGACCTTTCTCCACTTTTTAGAAATCCTATCTTCCCTGTCCTTCCCCACGGTGTGAATCCCTCTTGGACACGGTGTGTGGTCCCTGGGAACTGCAGCCCCCCCCCAAGATGGGGAGGATCTGTTTGAAGGGTGTGAACACAAATGGTGGCTGGATGAGAGCTGGGGAGGCGGGGGCGGGAGCCAGTGCAATGGGTCCATCTGGTGGCCACTGCCCCTCTGATCTGTGACCACCAGAGATAGGGTCCTGCTCCCAGCACCCAGACCCCTGCATCCCGGATCCTGGAGGGTGAGGGGTTTAGGGAGCAGCACTCCCATGCCTGCCCCTGGCCTCACCCAGGAACAGGTTGGAAATGGGATAGGAGAGGAAAAAAGACTGCGGGTTAGAAATCTGGAGCTGGGTTGACAGCCTCAGGTGGGGAGGGGGTGCTGTGGGGAGGCTGCAGAAAATGCCACAGCCTGGTTGGTTATTTGATTTGTGAATTATCAGAGTCACAGAATCATTTGGTTGAAAAAGACCTTTAAGATCATGGAGTCCAACCATGACCTGTCCACCACTAAACCATGGCCCTCAGCACCTCATCTCCCATCTTTTAAATCTCTCCAGGGATGGGGACTCCACCAC